GGGCGTGGCAGGCACGGACTCGGTCGGCGCGGCGCGCGTCCTATAAAAGCGCGCTCACGTGGGACCGCGCCCTGCAAACCGCCGTCGTCCGCCGTGGTGTCGCCGCGCACGCTGTCCCGCCCGCACCGCCCGCTGGAAACGGAGCGAGCGCCCCCTGCGACCGCCATGAACGAAGCAGCGGCCTGTGTCGCCCTGGCGATGCTCGTGTTCTTGTCCGCTTGCCACGGCACCGGTGAGTCGCCCGCTGGGTGTGCGAGGTCCGGGATGCGGTCGTCTCTACGAGGTGTAATGTCCTGAAACGCAGGCGCCGATCCACGGAGGGGAAATTTTCCAGAACCTATTAATTTTATTTTTTCAAGAAATTTTTAAGAAAAAAACGGATTATTATTAAAACCAATCAAATCGTATCGCAGCATGGACTGAGTGTAGCCTGCGCCGTTACATAAAATCTGTTATATACATTTTGGACGAAAACATTTTGAATTTCCCCTCCCAAAATTCATCTCTGGATCCGCCCCTGTGAAACGACCTGTTTCTTAGCCAGTTTATGAAATTTTTTTCGGCGGTTCATATTATAGGGCCGTTATTTAGTTTTATTTCGTATTTTATCATTTTTATTTTATTTTTGAAACTTTTATCATACTGTGCGAATAAATTTTGTTCTGTCGATGCTCGAAGTCTTCTTTTTACCCGTCACGGCAGCGATAGGTTACCTGACAAACGTTCAGGTATTCGAGCACCATACATGCAGGGTGAAATGTACATTTGTACATTTTCTCGTCCTCAGAGATATTACTTTTTACTAAAATAAACACCAGCTTCTGAATCAGTTTCCGAGTTTGCCTAATTGCTTATTGAGTATTACACGCTCGTTGTATTTTTTGTCTACATTTTTCGTGGAAAAAGCGAGGTAACGCTTTTGGGGTGTAAAAATAGTGGTTAGCTAACGGCCACCGAAGTGTGGAAGACTCGTACTCATTTTATACTTACTTGCGCTGATGTAAATAATGCCACTCATTGTTGTCTTGAAACGTAATAACCCAATTGTGCATTTTGTCCATGGCATTTGCCTGAAACCGTGATTTATACTTTCACTTTCGATTTTCGTGAGGAATTTACCGGACAAATTTGAAGAAATTACCTTCTTTCGATTTATTGATGTGTCAGAATTACGCATCTCCATTGATTCGTACTTTTTTAAACATATTATGTCTTGGTGCTAACACAAAAATTATTTTCATTTCTACAGAATATGTAACATTTTGTAATGATACATTGCACCCGATGATTTGTGCGTGAGACTCAGTAACATATTTTAAGGACAAAATATTTCATTCTTATAATGTTTAAAATACTTTTAGAAGCTTACTTCGTTGATTTTTTTTTTTCATTACGTCGAATGTGAATGTTGATGGTTAGTATTTGCGCAAGTAAGTTACCTCGCTGATAATGAGAATTCTGAATAAATATCTGATCCCCTACGGCGAAAAAAATTTCATAGAAGAAAATTATCTGTAAAATATTAAAATAGTATCAATTACTCCGATTATTAGAGAATGGGCGACGTACATCTGTTTTATTTACTCAACTTTTTTGTGATTTTGGTATGTATTTTGCCTTTTTTTATGGATATGACGGTATCTTCCCCTTCTTAGTACAGACGACTTTATCGAACGGTGTCGTACTTTACCGCGGGTGTACAGGATTTTTGATCCGTTTGGATACTCTGTTAATTCATATACAATATTTCCTTTAGAAATACATTTTTAACCGACCTAAATATCTTTTTCGTTGAGGAAAGATATTTTGCCTCACATTTTCCCGGCATCTCAGTAGACGATTTAATGACAGGTAATTGCGCGGCCTAGTAAAGTTAGATAATCTTCTATCATTATTGTAATTAGTATAATCATTTCCGTTGCATTACTTGTAACAGAATTATAGCGATAATATCCCACTATATGCTTTCAAGTTGATACTGAACGCGAATAATTAGGAACGACCTTTCCTAAGTGGGAAAGAGTGAGTTTAATGTTAGTGACCCAGTTTTTCTCATAGTGAAATTCTTTACACTTGTTCTCTATTTGCTTGGTACATTGTACGGGTACATTGCGCCTGATGTTGCGAATACTTTGCTTTTTGACTGTACTCTTCATCAAATAAATTCTGAAACTGTCCTGAGTCTTGTAATTTCACGACTTCAATCAATGGATCGTAATTTAATTGAGTACCTGTTATTTATGATCTTTTCTATTTAATTGTTTGTTCGATGGAGTGTAGCGATCTTGATTATCCAAAACTTAACCATTACGCTTGTAATTCTCTTTGCGATAAAGAATTCAGAAGTTCTACTTCAAGGAGTAAATATTACTTAACGTAAATTTACTGTCTTGGATATCATAATTATAATTTTGTAACGACATTATTTTTAATTTTTTTATGGGTATTCTAATTTCTTTAAAACTATTGGAGACCATTGGTCTATATAGAATCATAAATTAAGATATTCAACTCCTTTCAGGTGAATCCACGACTATACTTTCATTACTTATATTTTTTTCAATGAAATTATTGTTTTATATAGTAATTGTTAGTCATGAAAAGCACAAAGATCAACTTCATACATTACCTTTCAATTTAGGCTGATTGTTTTTAAAAACGCGTTTCTGTCGGCAGTAAATTGGAATGGAAATTAACTCGTTTTGAAATATTTCTACGTGAAATTCACTAATTTATGTGATGTGTATGTTGGTGGTTTGTGTGTACTTACTACTCATCTCATGAGTTTTCTTTTTTCAGGAGCTTTTAAAGCTTTCCCGAGGGTTGGACGATCAGGAGACCTGACGTGGGATTATGAAAATGGTGAGTCGGCAAAGAAATTATTACACTTTGTAAAATTTTTGACGGAATGTTTCTGTCACAAGCAAGTCGGTTTCGTGTAAATAAAGTTATAGAATATGATTAAAGTTACATATTTGTTTTAATAATGGAATATCCCATTGGGAAATTACCTTATTAAATGTCTGCAGCTCGTTGCATAATGTTAGTAATAATAATACAGCTTCATTTTACTACAAGAGCTTGACCAGTTACAGAGAAGTTAGCAATTGAGAAGTAATAAATCAATAGTCAAATAATTCTATGAAATGTTCTGTTGGATTGTGTGTATTACTGTGTCCTGACCTCCTGTGAAGTGGTGACGGCAAACCGCGCGTGCTCTTCCTGTTTCCAAAACTCAAAAGACATTCAGAATACTGAAGACATCAATAGGGAATGTATACATTTGTAACCTGACAAAAAACTTGATGATTTTTCTGTAATAAACTGAATCACAAATTGTCTCGTGTACTCTTCGTTTGAAGTCGGAGTGTGTTAACGCTTAACCAATCCTACATGGTAAACCTAAAAGACTGCCCGCTAGGTGACGGTTGAATACTGCACGCCAGCTGCCACGTAACTGTTCAATACACAAATTTAACCTATAATAGTTATAATTAGTTGTAAAAAAGATCGTATGAAAGTCGATTTAATACACTCGTATAAAAATTATCACACTCACTCGTTCCTCGCTAGTATCGTAATATCAATTCACACTTTTATCATTACATCATCGTTTCATGTACTAAAACACAATTTTTGGGTTGAGAGAATGCAATTTCAGCATGTTTAATATAATTATTAAACAGAAAATCGATCCGACTTAGATATTGGTTTTCAATCCCTGTAGCTTATGGACTACTAAGCTATGTAAATTGGAACTTATATCGTAGTATTCTCATCGTAATACAGTAACAAATAATTTTATCAGAAACATTTACTATTCTTTCCATTTTGTATTTTCCTGGAGAGTCCATAATATTTTCATAACTGAATTTTATAATTATTTGACGATTTGTTATAGTTCTTTAAATTCTAGACGATTTTTTCTTTTTACTTTCTCGACTTACGAAGCACTTTGTAAGAAGCGAAAGTTATGTAATCGTACGCCGGAAAATACATAATGTTGAAATTAAAACGAAAATCTTATTAAATATTAAGGCACTACCTTTATAAGCATGTATCAACATTCTTGGTACGACTGCCTGTGAACGGGCTCAGGCCTACCGGCGACGTCCTTGCCTCGCGGCCATGTGTTAAGGGGGTACGTGTGGTTAGCACGGACATCTCCATGCCGTATTCCGGACTTCTCAACCTGAGAAGTGAATTTTCTCATCGTTACACAGTAACATATACTGGGACCTTGGAAGTTTAACTCTCACTATAATCTTACCTATTGGGAATCGAACCCGGGGCCGTGTAGTGGAAAGCGAGCACGCCGACAAAGGGCTAGCCACGAGTCTAATGTTTAATACAGGAAGAGACACTAATGGTCAAACTATTTCTGACAGGGTCGTGTTGTGATTATTGGTTGTTCATTGCAGATGCGCTTAAACCAAAGAGGCAGGCAGGCCTCTTCCCATTTCCACGAGTCGGTAGATCTGGTGATTTGACTTGGGAGTTTGCGCCCGGTAAGTATTGAGACAATGCCGTCTTACAGAGCATGTTTATCTTTCTCCTCTAACACAGTAGCAAATCTTGTACGTACATTTTGCATCTTGTACACTTGTACATCATGCACCTGTTTGACCAAGTAACTTTTAATTACTGCTTTCTATCGAATCAACATCCAGTTTTATTTAATTATGGTTTTATTTGTTTCATTGCATGTACAGGTGTTTTCATATATTTCTAAATAAATGATTTTGTAACTCATTTACTGTGAAAATTTTTTTACTCCCAAAATTTATAATCACGAACTTCGAGTATCATATTTTGATTTTTTTTTCGCATGATTAAAGAATATGTATGCTTAAGTTAAAAACGATGAATATTTATTTAAAAGTAAAATATTGATGTGAAAACATAATTTACGAAATGTTAGGCGTTTTTGAATTTAATCATTCCACATTTTGCCACATTTATTTGACTTTATTTAAGTAACGTTGGCACCTTAACTACCGCTTTCCGCTTGTGGTATTTTATTTGTGTTTATGCTAAGGAAACATTGACCAAGAAATGACACTAGCACCTTTTTTTAATCATTGAATACTCTTTTTGGGAAGGGTGAGATACATTAAAAAATTACAGAAGTATTCTAAAACTGTATACGCTTATCTCAGTAAGATAGAGTTGAAGGGAGTGCAGTTCTTGTAAACTTGAAAAATAGATATACCTCTGCAAACAAACACTATTTAAATGTTCAGGCAAAATTGTACGTCGCATGTAAACCGCACTCGTTCACAATTTTTCAAATTTACGCTGAGACGCTTTGTTTATTGCGTCGCATGCATGACCAATTACTTTTCGGCAGTTCATCCATTAGCCGGCTAACAAGTGTTTTGTCTAATATTTTCGAGGAGCCCCCGGGTATGTTTGCCCCACTTGCTTTGGCCCTCGAGGGCGCGTCAGTGGAGCTCCGCCCGACTCTCTCCGCGTTGAGAACGTGGTCCCGTCTAGGCGCATCGCGTCTCAGAGCAATGCAGGAGGTAAGAGTGAAATATGTTTATAGCGATTGCAAGAAAGCGCGGGAACGCCATTTTTCTTTAGGCCTGAAGCTTTTCCACGACTTCTTACGCCAGTAGAGAGACATACTGCTTTTACGTATTCTCGGCGCGTCCTTGGGTTATTCGCTTCTGAACATTTACAGCGCTCCTGCAGTTTTTTGATGAATCCTTCACTTCTGGTACTTTGCATCACACGTGCATTGGATCAACGGGTTGGAAGAAATGGAAAGTTTATTTTCTTTGGAAAGTAGAACCGTCTAAAATAAATAGGAAGGTAACTCGGAAAGTATTTTCCATATTATGATAGGTTAACGGACATAGGTAGGTCAGAATACATTTATTTTGGTAACATGCTATTTTTTATGGCAATAAAATTTATTTGATCTTTGCTCTAGCAATAAATGAGGTATTCCTTGCAGCCACGATAATAATTGGTATTCACCTCATTACCTGCACATTTTACTTCCTCCTGGAAATCGGTCTCTTATACAAATTATATTTCCTTCATATAACAAGGGACCTCTCAACTGACACAAATCGAAATCTGGCTTCCTTTTTCCACATAGACAGATATTCACTATTTATATGAGCTGCGAAGAAAATAGTTGCCGTCACGTACTGGAAGTTATTGAAAAAACACCAAAATTTCATCCTTTTCACGACGCAAGTCGTCGTTTCCGCTGGGTTTGTGCATCCCTGACACAATATTCTGCCAAATGAACTACTGTTTTCCGCTCATCGCACTGTCAGACATAACGGATTAGTAAGAGACCCTAACGAGTAATAACAGCACTACGTTAGTCGTTCGCTGCAGCAAGAGTTATCCATGGCGTTAGGGAAAACAGCGTGGTCAAAACTGATCACATTCTTCATTTTTTTCAGTAACTTTCAGTTCCCCTTAAATCTGACTCTTATTCCGAACGTCCCTATACTCTCCCCGCTCCGCCCAGTGTTCTCTTTTGGAGTTTCGTAATTTCATGTTACCGATACAACAGTGCTTATTGTGGAAGGGACGAGTGGAAAAAATTGAGTTTTGCCGAAAGACGAAAATTGTTAAATGAACGCAATGGCGACAGCTGATTAACGAAATAGCATAAATAAGTACCCCGCGAATAATGCATCTGGTTTGGCAATTTGATCAGCAGTACTGCTGACTAATAATCATTTATAGACAGATAATTGAATTAAATATATCTTTAACGGCATTGTTTGCTTTTGCGAGACCGAATTTGGGATCGTAAATTATTGATAAAATTAATCGATTTAACAATCAAATTACTATAGTTTTGGAAACTTGTATCTCAGACATAATTTAGTAGTGAAATTTTGTCTGTGTAGTATTTACCGCCCATTCACACTCCTAATTTCCAATGTTTGGTAACTTATTAAAAGTAGTTACGTTATTTTTGCTGGACCGGACATATTTTTTAATACTACCTTTGTCTCACTAGCAATAGTTTTTCTAGCTTTCACTCTTTTATTTTCAATGTGAAACAGAATTAATGTGAATACCGTTCGTCCAAAAGAAGATGTACTAGAAGGAAGTTCAGCAATATCTCCGAAGTCAAATCGGTTCACCTATCAGACGATGGTTTAACAGGATTATTTATACTTATGTCCGCTAATGTCAGCTAAACCGAGAATAGGCAAAATGTAAAGACACACAAATGTAAAATAATAGTTTAAGCATGATATTTAATTGTGTGTAGCAAGGTGATAGTAAATAAAAATGTTTTAAAATTGCATTCAGATATGAACTCGAGAAACGAAAATGTATGAAAAATGAAGTTGTAAAAATTAAAAAATGTAAACGAGGAATATGAATCAAGACTTTAAAAAATATTATTCGAATATTCCATTCACATGTATTAGTGTCGTCCACAAATATGCTAAATAACGGCTCAACGTTACATTATGATATTTTCCAGTGTATTGGACATCGTATTTACCAATTTACTCCATTGATATCATTGTTGAAGTAATAGAATCGAGTGCCACGTCGATAAAAATGATGTTTCATTAAAAAATAATTTTATTGTCCACAGTCAGACGTATTAAGTTGTAACGATTCGTTTTATGGTAGAAATGTAGTATAGTAATTCAGAATTTCAACCGTGAAAGAGCATTGAAACTACGAAAATTACTTTTTCTTAGAACTCATCCAGAATAAGGTAGAGGCCTCCAACTAAAGAGAGTGCCTATCTATTTTGTTTTTTAAAATAAAGGAATGAGATTTTCTGCACCTCGGAAGTATCATAAATACTTATGTTCATGTGTTATTTTTTTCACTGAGAGGTGAGTACTGTACAGAAAGATGGGTTAGCCTTCAATAGTTCATACCGCCCAAAAAAACCCTCATAACTGCATTTCAAATTATAGTAGACTGGGAATAATGTCCCATCAAGAACATAAGAGAAAATTGTGAATTGTTTAAATGAATTGTAAGTTCGTATTTGAATGTAAGTGTATAATAAAAATGAATGCTGTGGTAAATTATAGCAGGTTAACTAGTAAAGAACCGTCGTCTCAGTGGATTGACTTATTTTCAGGAGTTGTAAGTGAAAGCCAAACCCTTGAAATTAATACTTTATGGGAGATACTGCTCGGATTGTTAATTTTTGGTTAAAAATGAAAATAAATTTACGGTTATCCCATTGAAAACGTGAGCTTCTGCGCAGACTCTCCAATATTTGTCCATCGCGAAGTCCTCTGGGAGAGCTGAAGATTGCTAGGGACGATTGACGGTGAAAGAAGGAAGGCACGTGTCAGGCGATCGAATACTCCTTTTCCAATTGGACTTTTACGGTGTTTTTATGGTGGATTTTATGTCCCTAGGACAGCCTCGATCACGTTAAGGTTTTTGTGTTCCTTTTGAAATATGGACAGATCTCTTTAAAACTAGTGCTGGAAGAATTCCGTGCCAGGCAAGATGCAAGACAGAATTAAAAAAACATATTTTTATATGATAAATACTCCGATTCCCTTGATGATGATGATTATTATTATTAATAAATAATTATAATTAATTATTATTATTAAATAATAATTATTAATTATTATTAATAAATGCTACGTATTAATAATAAATAATTATTATTAACAAATAATAATTATTTTCTATTGAAATATTCTTTTTATAAATTCATTTTGCAAAATTTATGAAAAACATTGTAAGCCTATAGGAAGTATTATTATTAAAGGTAAAAATTATAGTTTATTTGTTCTTTGTATTTTAGAAAGCGTTGCTGTAAACAAAATAAGCCTTCAAATTCCCTGACTTGATATTTCGGTTCTTCACGTGCGGGTAGATCACAGTACTTTTTGTGGAACTATCGTTGGAAAAGGAGCACCAGCTGCGGCTCGACGAAAGGGGACGTTTTTAAAGGCTGGCCGTCTGCATTTCATTGGTGGAAGTGGTCGCGACCTTCAGTTTCAGGAATCGGGTTTCGAATATTCTCAGACAAGAAATTCACGAAATAATTTCTTGCTCAAAGGCATCTCTGCACCAGTGTAGGTAACACTTAGGGATGACTGTACAGAGTGAATTGAAGTGTAGGAAATGAGATGTTGCTTGTACCAAGTCATTTTATCAGTGATTTTCTTTCTTGTGCAACATTTTTTATTTTATAAACAGAGGTTGTACGTACAAATCTATTTTTAGCGAAGAATACCAGGAGAGAGTTCACTTGCACACCCAAGCTTTTGAAAAGAGGGTAATTTATGCGACTAATAAGTAGCTTAACACTAAACATATTTTTATTTGAAATTATGTAATACAATATTTATAAGAACTAAAGATGAAGCAGGCTCCGTCAGTGTCCAAGTTTGTTTATGAAATTACCAATTAATTCTGTATTCTTCTTTCCTATAATACTTAAACAATGCAGCCCACTTAGTTTCTCGTCAATGTAGCAGATAGATTCAAAGTTGTGACGCGTCGTATTGAGCTAAGCTTGTTCAATGCTGCACGTTGTTGCTAGAAGAGTCAAGCCAATCTGTACTGCCTAGGCTTTTGCTGTATCATATGACATAATAAGCCAACTAAATCTTTGTAAAAATAAACATCACCTCGTGAGTAACCTTCATGTTACAGTTATTAATGCTTCCACACTTTGTATCACGTAATAGAATAAGTGTCAAAGTTCTACATACAGACTTGTTTATGGCCTTCAAAACTCCAAAAATTATGCTTTGTTCAATTAGTTCATAGAATTTGAGTGAAACTGCAAATGTAAAAATTAGTGAACAAACTCGTCTCAAAGGAAGATAAAGTGGAGTTCAAATACGAGATGAAAATAGATCTGAAGAATTCTTCGTAAGCGTTGACTCTGTTTTTTACTTTTTATTATTCATGGTTTGTACCATCATGAATTCTGAAAGGTTAGATGTTAGATAGATCCTTTGAGAGCGTAGGCTTCGGTCGCCATTCTGCGACCTTCCTCAGGGCGTAATGCCATGGTGACCGAAACGTCGGCACCTTCGCCATGGACGCGGCGTCACCCGGACAACCTAGTAAATAAGATAGATCCTTTTCTGTTTATGTTTGACTCCTTAAGATTCATCATCTAAAATTCTCCGACTACCCTCCCCCCTCCAAGGGGGCGTCTGACAGGCCACCCTTCGAGTTTTCTCTTAATCATTAGATGGATTCTGGAATATTTGCAGATACGAACATCGGAAGTTACACACTACCATTATTTATTATTTCCCTCTATGCTCATTTTCCCTTTTTTATCGTTTACGAAATAAATATTGGAACTACTAAGTGAATGCAGACTCTTTAAACTGTTTTAAAAATATTTTTATATATTAAAAATCAGTTGTCAGTTTTTTTCATCCTCGGACGTAGTACAAGAATTACAATGAAATAAAAAATACAAAAAAATGTGTAGTTACAACTTTTCTTCTTGGATATTCTTTCCAGCTACTACCCGCCTCAGAATTTGGTGTTAGAGAAAACTTATCCGAACGGGAGCATTGGT